AAAGGCAACGGGCGTCCCGGTCTCCAGACGGCAGTGCAGCGTCGCGGCAACCGTTATCTTTCTAGAGATTGGTGGCAACAGATCAGGCCGCATCTGTTGTCGGGTATCTAATCTAAGGGCTGAGATTGCTCCAACACATTAAGATTCGTTGGACCGTTGCAGCATTAATTCATTGGAAAAAAATATTATAGTTTACCGTTATGAGGTTTGAGGGACAAATTTATTTCAAATTAATGAATTGCAAATGACACCCCCAACATAAAAAAGTTACGAACTCGTGCCCAATTTCATAATTCCAACGACATTTATGCATTTTAGGTGAAATATTAATGTATCAGCATTTATAATGACATTTAAAAAAATTGTGTTTGTATTAAATAATTATTTTAAAAATGTATTCTACACCAGATAAAATATACGATAGTTGTATTTTTTTACTTTCTATCCATACATGTTAAAACAAAGATGTATCTAATTTTGCGTGTAAATTAAAAATATATTCTAGATTCATCCCGATATTGTATCACTTACTTATAGTAATTAATGTGGCATGCGAAACGTCAGCCACTGTGCATGGGCTTGAGAGATGAGTTTCCACATGCAAAGAGCTATGGAAGAATGAGATCTAATGCTTACGAGATGAACGCACGTAAACTCAAGTCGGTTGATCTGCTGAAGGAAACGAGTATCTAAAAGAAATGTATTAGTGTGAATGACATACGTAAAAGTGAGCTTGAACGACTATTTATAGTTATGCTAGTATCATCTTTATTGGGCTTACGACCGTAACTTAATGCAATTAATCCATTAACTTACTTATTTGTGGATGACTGTTATTTTGGACCCAATGGAATAAGCCCAATATAGTATACCACATTGACATTCATTACAGATGTATTATAGCAGCCCAATAAAGATGCTACTAGTATAACTATTGCTGCATTATGATATTAGTTTTTAATTATTATATTAGTATTAATTTATTAAGATAATTGACTAATCGTTGACCGTATAAGACTTAATGTTGCCCTAAAACCCTAATCCGGTTACCCAACTCAACTCGGTTTGGCGCCTCATCGTCTTTTTTACAATCAGTCCTGTTTATTTCAGCTGCCTTATCAAACACGCTCGCGCGGCCACGCGCGCACGGCCACCGCCGTACGCAAGGTCACTGCCGCCACCGTCTCCGGCGCGCGACCATCACATTGCCGCCGAGGTAATTGCTCTCTACTTCCGTGGTGTATATACTAGATAAATTGATTATGTGATATTCCCCTTTGCTAAATGCTCCGAATCTGAATATCTATGCTCAATGGCATTGTTGTTATTCTTCATATCTAAAACTTGTTTTTTGTAATATCACGTATATTAATTTCATCTTCCCTTCTCTATTCAGCTCCTGGAACTCACAACACTAATAGAGATGGCTCTTCGTTTTGAGGTACTGTGTCTTGTCCAATGGTAGCTTATAATCACTTTCTGTTTCCGTCAGTAGAATTTCGATAAATTAATACTCAATATATCAAGAACCTCACTTAAATAATAAATTTTTCTTGTCCCGACTCAATAAAAAATGTATTAAATTATTAGTTCGATAATTTAATATTTCGCTAAATTAATAGAAATTTACTAGTCCCGACTATATTTATTTATAGAGGTTTAACTGTATTTTTTTCCCTATACTAGATTCTTGGAAGGTTTAACCGTGCTCGAGCAGCTAAACTCACACTTCCGCATTTTGTGTGCGAGACGCCTTTATTTATGCCTGTCGGCACACAAGGTATGGTTATCCGTCTTTAGTGTTGCTTATTAGATGTAATTTGTGTTTGTTCTTGTCATTGTACCTGTTGGATGATTGATGGATACACCAATGGTTGGTTACTAGTGCATTATGCTTCGATTACATGATGTAAAGGAAAGTAATAATTATTTATGCATGGTTCTTATCTCCTTGGTTTGGTGTATGATTTGATGTTATGGTTACACTTGATGTTATCACTCGATCTATTTTATATTAATAATCCTGCTGAATGCGGATGCAGCATTTTGATCTTCTCATTTGTATTGATTTTAGTATTTCGTGATTACAGGTACAATAAAAGGTTTAACGACTAGCCAGCTTGAGGAAATTGGATGCCATATAATTCTCGGAAACACGTATCACTTGGCTCTCCGGCCCACCTCTGAGCTCATTCATGAGATGGGGGGCCTCCACAAATTCATGAATTGGCCTAGGGCATTGCTGACCGACTCTGGTGGCTTTCAAATGGTAGCCTTGTCCGTTTTTTGTGTTTCCCTTTCGTCATATATTCCAATGATTTTCGGAACCCTTTTCTCTATTGTATGCAATTAAGTTTTATCATTTAAGTTTTATTTCTTCGTTTTGCTCTTTGTGATTGCTCGACAGAGATACGTGCCTTGAAAATAACTTCTTTGTGTTGGTAGGTCTCCTTATTGCATCTGGCCGACATCACTGAGAAGGGTGTAACGTTTCAGGTGCGCTTTAAGCTTTTTCTGTTATGTTTATAGTCCATGATTCTAACTCTGCTAAGTGCCTCTCTAACACAATATGTTTATATTTGGTTTTGCAGTCACCAGTTGATGGGAAACCAATGCTACTTACTCCAGAAGAGTCGATACAAATACAAGTAAAATTCTTTCACCAGTTTTCTTACCTAATTTTCAATTACTACTAGCATGTGAACATGGCTATGCCTGCACCGGAAGTCCCACCGTATTTGGCTAGTAAACGAGGCAATCGTATACATACAGTTTGCTTCTTTTTAGACTTCATAATTTTGTCTTTTCCTTGCGTTATATATTCCCTACACGCGTTCCGGATCCTGAAAATACAATCTCTGTATTTCTAATCAAACTGATGTCTATAAAACCACCGGTAAATATCAGCTGTCAAATATGCTTATACATGTGGGTGTGTTAGGATATATATTTATGTCTGTGTGTAAATATTGTGCAAGATTTTTCACATGACCATGCCGATGGAATTGAATTGTAGCCCATTAAAAGCATTCCTCTCGTCCAGGCTGTAAGCACTGTGATCGCTGCTGCAGGACGCCAAATGGTGTACCCTATATGAATTCTTGACTTGATCAAATGGTCTGCTTGCTTCTTACAGGTCTCATTATATTCTTAGTTGTAGAGAAATAATGTTAACGAATCTTAGGAAAGATTTACCTTGTGTCTGCAACACATACAATGATTTTTTTTTTTAATTTTTTTTTATGCTTCTGCCGTTCTGCGTATTTTTTTGGCTTTATTTGCTCAGTTTGTGTAATGGCTTAAATTTTGTAGACAAATTGTTGCCTTTTACTATTTTTCTTTTAATAAAAACAGTTACACTTATCCATATGTAGTTTTTCATTATTCCAGTGGCTTCTATAGTATCTTGTTTGCTCATTCAATTTCCTTCAACTGTCGCAGAATCGAATAGGAGCTGATATTATTATGGCCCTCGATGATGTTGTTAAAACCACAATCACAGGCCCACGGATTGAAGAGGCTATGTATCGTACTCTTCGTTGGATAGATAGGTGCATAGCAGGTAAGGAAATTGTATGGTAACATGCATATGTAAATTTTTTACTTGTATTTACAGTGTCTTGTTAAATGATGGTAGAATGGGTACGGAAAATTAAATTGTCGAGCGAGCATTGCCAAATGCCAACTGCAAATGATTATATCATAACTTGCATTTGTGATTCCGTGTTCGTTTTCTACTTGTACCAAATAATGAAATTGGTAAATTAGTGAAAGGAAACTGGGAAAATCGACTTATATCAGTTTGGAATACTGCTTTTTCCATTTAAGTATTTTATCAGTACCACTTATTGCAATGCCAATGTCTGCATCAGCACACAAGAGACCTCACGAGCAGAATTTATTCGGAATTGTACAAGGTGGCTTAGATCCAGTATTAAGGTCAGTTTAAACGTGGGCCTCAATTATTTTAGTTGTAATTTGCGCAGACACATATGTTTACTCTTAGATGTCTAATTTTCTTGATTCTCTGTGCAATCAATTGCTGACAGGGATATATGCGTCAGAGGTCTAGTGGACAGAAATTTGCCTGGGTATGTCGATATACTCTTCCTCACAGTTGTGATTTAGCATGCAACAGCCTTCTAAAACATTCTTGCAAGTTTAAATGATTTGGTCTGGACATAATCAACACTTATGTTAGGTCTTTCCCGAAGTAAGATAACTCAATAAGAAAAGACGCAACGAATCAACTACAATATACAATTTTATTTTATTTCATTTATGTGAAATAGTATAGCAAATGTATGTTATTCTGAATTAGCTGAAGCAACTTAGTTTATCCTTTTGACAGCTATGCTATTGGTGGTCTTGCTGGAGGTGAAGATAAAGATTCATTTTGGCGCGTTGTTGCCCAGTGCACAGCTGCATTACCTGAGGACAAACCACGATATGTTATGGTGCGCACTCTATTTTCATGTTATTTTATCGTACCTTCAATATGTCTCTATATTGGTTTCAATTTTCTAATGCTTTATATATATTTATACAGGGTGTTGGCTATCCACTAGATATTGTAGTTTGCAGTGCATTAGGTGCTGACATGTATGATTGTGTCTATCCTACACGTACTGCTCGTTTTGGGACGGCTCTTATACCCGAGGTATCAATTCTTGATGTTGGTTATCAATTTTCTAATACTTTATACACACACACACATACACACACGATATGTATGGTTGCTCATACGATTATGCTAAATGATTATATTCGTATGTAGGGAGTATTAAAACTTAAACACCAGGCTATGGCTAATGATACTCGCCCGATCGATCCTACATGTGAATGCACCGTACGAACCACTTGTTTCTTCCTAATTATTGTTTACAAATGTAATCGTTTTCTTATCTCAAAAATTTCTTACCTTGGAGAGCGTTTTTACAGGTATGTAAAAAGTATTCACGAGCGTACATTCACTGCCTTGCCACTAAAGAGGCAATGGGATCTATTCTTATATCTTATCACAATTTATATTACATGATGAAGGTCTGTTTACGTAATTTTCTATTGAGAACTCGGGAAAAATTTCCTCCTATTAATTTATTTTCCAGCATCATATTAACGTGTTTATATTGTTATTTACAGCTTAGCAGGGATTTACACTCCTCTATTGTTGACGGCCGATTTCCAGAGTATGTTTTTTGTGTAATTACGTTGCTTTGCATTCATTTTAGTTTTCTCGCATTCGTTTTCGACTTACTAAATCTACTAGATTTGCCGTGTCGCGACTTTTTTTTCTTTCCCCCCAGGTTCGTCTGCACGTTTCTGCAAAAAATGGTACTTCTCCTTGAATTTTATCTTATGCAAATACTATGTGTTATTAGATTTTTAAAAAAGTTTTAAGTTTAATATAGAACTTGGGAAATTTATTGCAATTTTCTAATTCCGGTGCTGACTGTACAGTTTCCGAAAGGCGATGTTCCTCAATGGGTGTGCAATGCTATGGAGGCCGCCGGTATCGATATATCTTCGTGTTGTACTCCACCTGATACGAACCACGCCAATGATGTGACGAGACCCGATAACAATACTTCGGACTGTCCAAAAGAAGAATCAAACGAAGTCTTATGAGGCCCACTACCCATGCCGAGGGGCTGCCTGCCGTCTGGGGTCACTTGGGCCATAACTTTTTTT